TTCTCAAAATTGCGAATTAACGGGAGATACGAAAATGACAAAGTGATGAAAACGATAATTCATCTCCCAACAGATACAATCTCATTTGTTATCAAGGAACTTCATACAAAATTATACAACTCAAATCCTGCTGTTTTTCCCGAAAATTCAAGGGATGTTGACTTTGTCTTAAAAGTGCGAGGACTCAATGAGTTCTTGATACCCGAGTTTATTTCTATATTACTTTTATTAATATCTGTATAGTACATTAATTATCATTACTTATTTATATAATGTATTATAATTTTATCAAATATATATTATATTAAATATTACTATAATTGAATATATTATCTATAGTTACGGAATAACAAAGAGAAAGAGTGATGGAGGGGAATATGTACTCAGTGACTTTGATTATGTCCGGCGATGTGTTCACGAGAATTTACCAATCGACTTAGTGCTATATGACAGAAATAAATTACATGAACGGTTGTGGAAAGCCGACCAAATAGGTTTAATGGGACATTTGAACACATTTATAGGAAGTGAGGTGAAGGCGCTCTCGGACAAGACGCGGTACTTGTCCCAGCGGGACTTAAAGACTCCGATGTGTGTAGAGATCACGCAACTTGACAATTTCAAATACACCAAAGCGACCGACAAAATGAATTTCAGTGTGAATTTCAAGTGTTTCATAACGGGTTCGTTATACTATGGAGTTAATCTATTAGCGAAAGAGGAAGTCTCTCCGATATTTGAAATAGAGAATGGCCGTATCAAGTTTAACTCTCCGTTAGTATTGACCTTTAACATCTTAATCTCTTCCATCCCACGAGAAACAAAAATTGTTCTTTCCGTGTATTACACTGATCTAAGTGCCACCGGTGTTCCTCCAGAACTTTCAAAACGACAAGAGTGTCTTGCGACGATTAACAGCAAATTGATCGATTACAACGGCTTTTTCATACGCACGAAATTCAGGTGTGGGATGTGGGAGAGGGTAGAGCCAAACCCTATTAACATGTGTTGTGAGAATACATCAAATGAAGCGTGTTCAATCCAATTCAAATTAATCGAGTTTAATAAGCCAGTCATTATGGACACATTCACAGCTACGGACGACGAAATGAAGACTCAAATGGCCTCCGAAATCAAATTAAAAGCTGAGGATGTCATTATCTATAAAAAAGCCGTGGAAGCAGACCCAATGGCAGAGTTAACTACAGAAGAGATCAGAATGCTCTGGACATATCGAGCTATGGTGATGAAAACTAAACCACGCGCACTCTCGAGAGTTGTGCGAGCCGTCGATTTCTCGGATCAAGAAGAAGTACTTGAGTTACATAGACTTCTTCAAAAGTGGCCTCTTATAGAGCCGTCCCACGCGTTGGAGTTACTTGACTTCCATTATCCCGATGAGGAGGTGAGGATCTATGCGTTGAAATGCATCGACGCTATGAAAGACTACGAATTAGTTGATTTCTTACCCCAACTGATTCAAGCATTGAAATTTGAATTGCACCACTTGAGCACTCTTGCAGACTTCTTACTCCGCCGTGCACTACGAAATAAGAACGTCATCGGTCACCAATTCTTCTGGTTCTTAAAAGCTGAAGTGCACGACCCACGAGTCACTGAAAGGTATGGAACGTTACTTGAAGCATTTCTGAATGGGATAGAAGGGTACAGAAGTGAACTTTACAATGAAGTCCATTTACAGAACCAATTGGTGACTCTTGCGAATCAGGTGAAGGCCATTTCGACGAAAGAAGACCAGAAAGCACACTTGAAGAGTTCTTTGAATAAATATAATTACCCAAATGAAATGTCTTTGCCACTCGACTCAAGACTGAGAGTCAAGAGGACGGTACCAAATACCGGAAACGTATTCTCATCGAAGAAAAAACCATTGATGCTCGTCTGGGAGAATCTCGACCCACTTGGGAAGAACATACTCGTCATCCAGAAGGTCGGGGACGACTTGAGACAAGACGTGTTAACACTTCAAATGCTTCGACTGATGAATAACATCTGGAAGTCTGCGGGACTTGACTTGAGGATGCTGCCGTATCAATGCATGGCGACGGGGAATGAAATGGGGATGTTGGAACTTGTCGAAGACTCCGAGACGTATGGCGCGATTATCGCGAAAGAAGAGGGGACGTTCCGAGTGTTCAAAGACGACGTTTTAACGAAGTGGATGAAAGAGCAGTGCAATCGCCCGGAGTCTAAAGTCACATTTGACCAAGCTGTTGAGAATTTTGTGTATTCATGTGCCGGGTATTGTGTTGCGACATACATCTTAGGTATAGGAGATCGACACAGCGATAATGTGATGATTAGAAGAGATGGCCGATTCTTTCATATTGACTTTGGACACTTCTTAGGGAACTTCAAATCGAAGTTTGGAGTCAAGCGAGAGCGCACACCATTCAAATTCACCCCACACTTCGCTCACGTGATGGGCGGGAAAGGGTCAAAGATGTTCAAAAAGTTTGAGGAATTGTGTATAAGTGCTTTTACGTGTATAAGAAAGCAAGGGTCACTCTTTATATACTTGTTCAGGCTGATGCTTGCAACTGGAATACCCGAGTTACAGAAGGAAAAGGATATAGAGTACATGAGAGACACATTCATGTTCGACAAAAAGGAAGACGAGGCGGGCGAGGAATTCAGACAGCTCATATACAAGTGCTTAGATGCAAAGTCGCAGACTTTCAATGATCTTGTTCACGACTACGTCCATTACAAATAAGATATATTCAATTAATGTGTTTCATCATCTTTCTGTTTTTGACTCTCTTATTCAATTCACTTCTTATATCAGGACCAAATCAAGTAAGATTTTATAGTAATGTTCGAAAATAAAAAACACTAAAACCCTCAAATGATAACTTAGAGTTTCTTTCCGGCTTCGACCTTCTCAGCTTGTTGCTTGATGAAGTCCTTCTTCATGGCGCCGAGTCTGGCCTTCTTTTCAGCAGTAGTCTGGAATCTAGAGTGACCGTATTTGGATGAAGTATCGATGAACTTGAGTGAAATCTCTTCTTGAGCAATTCTGGTGGTGGATGGATTGCAAGCCTTTCTCAAGGTAATAACTCTCTTTCTGATACCAGCGCAAGTACCCTTGATCATCAAGAAGTCGTTCTTGACAATACCGTAGTGTGGGAAACCACCCATTGGGGTGATGTCCTTCTCAGTGAAATCGAACTCAGTGTTAGCGTTTCTAAGAGCACCGGCACCGATTCTGTAGATCTTCTTGTTGACTTCGGTTCTCTTGAAGAAACCCATCTGACCAGCACGAGCAACAGTCCATCCGACTCTCGCTGGATGCCATGCGCCGACACAAGCGACTTTACGGAGACCTCTGTGCGTCTTTCTTGGCAAGTGTCTAACACCGAATCTCTTGATGACACCGTTGAAACCGTGACCCTTAGTGACAGCAACAATATCAATTGGTTCGTCCTTTCCGAAGATGGAGTCGACGCTAATTTGTTTCTCGAGGAGTCCAGTAGCGAAGTCGATCTTATCAGCAATAGATCCACCGTTGACTTGGATTTCCATAACTTCAGCCTTCTTTTGCTTCAATGGGACAAGGGCCATTTGGGTGTGAGCAATGATTCTAATGAAATCGGCGTTGTTCTTCATCATTTTAATGATTCTTTCTCTCTTGGCCTTCACTTTAACGTCATTGTAAGTCTCGGTGTGGACGGCAAATTGTCTTCTGTTGCTCTTCTTCCAGTTCTTTGAGTATCTTCTCTTGAATTCGTCGCTGATGTGTTCAGCAAAGACAACGGACATTTGTCTCAAACCCTTGACGGTCTTTCTATATCCAACAAATCCAACACAGACCATTGGTGGTGTTTCAATGATGGTGACTGGCTCCAAAATTCCGTCCTTTGGGAGCTTAGTGTTGGTTCTCTTAACCTCACGAATAACATGGGTCATACCAGCCTTGAATCCGAGGAATCCGGTCAAATGAGGCTTGTCGGTCGTCTTGTCCTTCGGGAACGCTGAGGTAGCGGCTCTTAAACGATGAACTCTCTTTCTTGGGTGGAATGCGAGAGATCCGTGTCTTGGGGCTTCAAACTTTCTGTGCGACATCTGCGACCAACTGTTTCTTTAGTTCTTTATAAGGGTTCTTATGTTCTAGGTATCTATATTATTAATTATATTTACTATTCATTTTTACTAGATGCTTGTTATGAGAAAGGGTTTGATATGGTTTGGCAATTTTCAAAAACTTTTTAAAAACATTTTAATAATAAACTATAATAACATTTTAAATAACATTTATTTAATTCAGAGAAAACACAAAAACTAATAACACTCTAAAATTCTAACACTTCGAAGCCTTCTTCGTCTCCAGTTGTTTTCATCTCTCTGATATCTTCTTCAAGAGTCACTCCTAACTTTGTTTTTGCAACATCTCTGATGACTTCTAAATTGTTGTCGCGAACAAGAAAGCTCCAGATACAATTGCCAAAGGCAAGTTGACTTAACCCAACCATTTTAATATCTTTTGTTCTCACCGAATAATCTGTGATATCGAAATCCCCATCTTCGTGGGCCTTTTGGACATGATGCGGGTCCAGTAACAAGAGTACCCCTCCACTGTGTCCAACAACATAAATTGCTCGTGTCTCGACTCCACAAACAACACCACTAACAAATGGATAGTCCAAACAACATTGTGTGCGTTCATTGAGTGGTGCCAATACCATTAGAATAGTATTTGGTTCGACGTGTTTGGGAAAGGTTTGCACAAACATCACATGACACGGCCTTTCGTCCCATTGCTCCATTAAAACACTTTGTGTCATTACACTAAGAACAACTGATATCAAGAAACAAACGAAATCGCCGTGGCACAAGTCGATGGAGAAAGGTAGTTAGTCCCTTTCTGATTGTTCTTCCTGACCACTTCCAAGTCGAACATTTTGTGTATTGAAAGCACTGCCTCTTTTCTGGGAGTGTCTTCTATGAGTTGGACGTACTCTCTTCTGACGTCCATTGGATGCACTAAAAATCCTTTCTTCATTTTGGTCTGCGAATCTTTGTCAAAGCCCGGGTCGGGTTCTTGGATCCGAATCAAAGAGTTCAAAAAGAGCATTTGGACAGAGCGAATCGTACATCCCCAGCCCGCGTCGGTTGTTAAACTACAATGTGGTAAATGGTACGTAAACCCGTTTCGATAAGTCACTTTAAATAAGGTCGAGAGGTGTTTGGCTATTTGAGACCCATCAGTGGGGTATTCCACATACTTCACACCTTGTATTGTATATTCAAAGTTGAAAGCAAACGGTTCAAATTTGCTTTTAATAACACTATTGTAAAAATGAGAAGAAAGGTTGTACGAACACGCGTTCACATAACTTGCAAAAGATTTTTGTTTCTTCTTTTGTGGAGTGGATGTCGACATTGAAAAGTGGTGTGTTAAACTTTTTAGTTTATTGTAAATCTGTCATTTCAATTTCGTTTGTCTTTGGTATAACTTTTATATGGTTTATTATAGTTTAATTATAGTTCATATTTACAAGATTGTTTGTAAACATAATTAAAAAAATTTTTTCTCATGAACACCAGTAAAAAAACGATAATTATTGTTTAATTTGATTATAATTCTTTTTAATTATTTATAATAACAATGATAAAAATAATAATAAAAAATAAAATTAAATGAAAGAAAAAAGTTTGAGTTATTTATTCAATTATGATTTGTTGAATTATTTGAAATTTTTAAACAGTAAAATTTTTTTATTAAAATATTTTATTTTAAATATATTAAAATAAGATAAGTTAATAGGTTATATTGTTAATTATTTTTTAATATTAAATAATTATAATTATTAGTTTTACATGTTTGGAATTATTTTGAAAATAATTTTTTTTTTTTAATAAAATAAAAAAAAAAAATAATATTTTCCATAATTTACTTGTTACAATATAATTCTATTATATCCTTAATTTATAATATAATTTAAATATTACAATAATATATTTAGTATTATAAAATAGTCTTGAAATATGCCAAATGAACATAAACAAAAAAAATTCACTATTTTTGTACTTAAATTAACTTAATTTTTGATACTTTTCTGTGTTTGTTTATAAAATCAAAACATTGTACTATTGTAAACCGAACATTCAAATGAATTGAAACATCTATATACTTATGAATATGTTGGTAATTATTCGTCTTTCAATAAATATGTGTATGGATTTAACATATCAATTATATAATAATTGAAATTCATTTTCTTGAAAGAATGTCAAAAAATAACAGTAATGATAAAGAGCACCGACTTTCAAAAATAATTATTCTTTTTTAATCCGAGTTAAATTAAATAATAAAAACAAATTGTTCTGAAATGTTTTATTTTTATTGAAAGGGGTGTTTGTTTATAAGCGAATTATTAAAAACAGAAAATGTTAATAAATGATGAAAAGTAATATTAAAAAACAATTAAAATACATATAACAATAAATGTAAAATTTAAAACATGTCACTTGATTATTAAAAAGATTAAGAGTGTTTATCCTCAGTTTTAAAGTATTACAATGAGTATTTTAGAATGTTCGAAATAAATGAATTGTTTTTCAGAGCAATCTAGCGTTTTGCTTGTTTTTATTACCAATTAAACTGTTTAAATTAAAAACAAACTTCTAAATTATATTTTAATTCCCAAATTTCAATACTACTCACTGTTTTATTTATAGATGACATATCATAAACATAATATAAATTACAACTCAAACCATATTCAAACTACTTACTATATAAAATGTTTTTTTTTTCTATTTTTATGACTTTTTTTAAAAAACTTGACAATTGTTAAAATTTGTTTAAAGCAAAATTACTGTAAAGTCTCCCCAAAAATAAAAAAATGAACGTAAAAGTGTATACGTATTAACGGTCATACAAATTATTTACAATTAAATAATTAAGCAACTAAAAATATTTTAAACTCAAACCTATTTATCTCTGAAAATTAAACAGCAACAATGAACACCCAACCACATATGGACAACTTTATTCAAAAAGTGCAAATATACGCGGACACACCTCTTAATTCACAGTTTTGGCAGGAGTCATGGACTTCAAAGATGAAAGTGAACTCAGGTTATATTACTTTGGACAATTCCTTCAGTTTTGTAGATGCAGAAGACCAGTTTGTTTCCACTATGTTTTTCAAATAGTTTTACTGGTTTTCGAAATAAAACCGACTCTATTTGTTACATTTAAAAATTGTGTAATTAATAACAACATAATAAAGAAATAGATTGTATGTAGTTAAGTCTTGTGGTGTCATTGAAACGCAAATGGATTTATTAAACATCTTTGCGACCACTCCGTTGTATTACAGATGCAATCCGTTTGTCACCAAATACAACCTATTTCAAAAAACATCGACAGACGCATGTTTTGAAACTGAAATGAATATTCTAGGTATTAACAAAGTCGCTGTATGTGGGAAGCGGAGCACTTACAAATTCAACAACAAAATTTATTACTTAGTTCATAGTACAACAGATGAACGCTCGAATATCGTACCATTCAGAGACTCGCAATTTCTATATCAGTGTTTCATCTTCGAACAAGTGTCTTCCACACACGTCAAAGTGACTGTACTGTCAAAGATAAACCCGGTTCCTTGGTGTCATTCAACTAACGTCAAACTTGGGCTTCGAAGACAGACAACGATGGACAGTCGAATATTCAAAACCCTTGTTGACCTTCCAAAGATTGACATAGAGAATGTACCGTATTATGTTGAAATAGAGCGGCAAGGCTTTGAAGCGATGATCCAACGAAAGAAAGTTGGCACTGTTATAATACAGACGGAGGATTATACCATAACTGAGTTGTCGAGGTTTAAAGGTGAAATTAACATGTTCTGTTCGGGCAATTTCAGAAAGAAGACGTCCCTTCATTTGAACACAGAAACCCTAATTCGGGTTGTTTTCCAAAATCGGTGTAGAATTATAGAAAGCAACGACGACTGCTTTGTCGTTTTAAAAGGCCCTTCAAAAGACTACAATGCAGCGGAAGACAAGCTCGAGTTCTCTGCGTTTTATTACTCTGATGAATGTGTGTTATACCATTTTAAATCAACAGAACGTGTTATAGAGAATCAAGAGAAGGTGGCGTACTTCTTTTTTAATAAAGCATACATCATGTTGTTGAAGGACACGGACGGATATTGGAACGTCCAGATGGAAGTTGACTTCTCAGAGAAGACCACTGGGCTGTCTGTAGAAGTGATCAGAACGTTTTTGAAGAACATGAAGGACAACATCGGAGCGACTAACGTCGACACAATTAGAAGACTTCCCACGTTGAAATTTGCTGTTGGTGGAAATGTCCCACAAACGACGGGACATGCTTTTTTCGTTAAGATGCAGAGGACAACACTGTCGAATATCTGCTCAATGCTATCGAAAAAGGACGTCAAAAGTCTGCGCGCGACGTGCAAGCAACTTTGGTCACTGATACACAACCTGTGTTCTACGGAAGAAAGTGACGAGAATTGTACATTAAACGAAGAATCACCTTCGGGGACTGAAGAAGACAAACAAGTTCAAAACACTACTAAACCAGTGACGGAGAAGTCGGTTATTCTTTTTAAAGAAACACATCAATACTTCACTGAGTTGAATACTTACAAATTCAACTTCCATGTTTCTTTTAATACAAAACAAGACGAGGAAAAGAGTCAAATGCGGATCATCGAAATCGAAGCACACAACAATGTAGTCCGTTCGGTTGGATTGGACAAAGACGGAACACAATTGGTCAGTGGGTCTGCTGATAGAAAGGTTAAAGTGTTCAATTTGACAACAGACCCAATAACAGGACGCGGACTGTTAGGACCCAATAGCTCTATTATATACTCTTCATTTCTTTCCAATTCGATATGTATTGGATACCGGTGTGGGACTATAAAATACTACGTCGAGGACTTGGTCCAGCCAGTCATCTTCGATTCGGTCATCGGGAGGTTGGAAGGATTCACTCCCATAGACAAATACAATTACTTTGGGTGGAGAGACTCCGTGCAAATAGTCGACTATAACAACTTCAAGCAGACAGTCAAATACAATTACAGAGGCCACACAAAAAAGATTACTGCGTGTTCCAGATTTAATGAGAATGTATATTTGAGCGGAAGTTCAGATAGAGCGTTGCACTTGTGGGATATCAGATGTGGAAAGGGAAAGTTCGCAGAGATGAAGCCCCATAAAAGCGGGGTCATTGGACTCGACACGTTCGACGACAACAAGTTTGGAAGCTTTGGGTGTGAGAAAATACTGTGTTTGTGGGATATTAGAATGCTCAAATTGCCAACAATAACTTTCGATAATCGAGTCGAAGTACTTACACATGAAGGAAACGTTATTGCGTGTGGGTGTGGTGACGGGAAGATTCGGTTCTATTTACTCGACTTGATGCAGTTTGCAGATGATGTTCAGTGTAATACCGGGTCATCGTTTAGTACCATCGACTACAAGAACCAGACTGTCGCTTGTGGTGCTAAGAATGGAAGGGTGTATGTTGCTAAGAGTTCTTTATCTTTTTAGACTTCAATTATGTAATCAAGAATATTGTTTTTGTTTGGTTCTAAAAAGTGGACTCTATCTATTTATAAAGCATAAAAAAGGTATAAAACTAAATGAATAAAACACAGAAAAAAACAAGGAAGACGAAGAGTCTGGAACATCGACTTCTCGAGTTGTAAACTATTGACTCGACGCATTTGCCCGTGGTCGTGCACTCAAAACCAGTCCGACATTTCCCACATGTTGGAATACACCCATTGAGCCACTTCCCAACACCATCATCTATAGTTGCATCCCTCACAGTGCAAATGACATTTTCACAGTTGAGAGTGTCATATGAACACGACTGTTGATGGTCTTCTCGTTTTATTAATAGCGCCGAAGTAACTTTTAACTCACTATTTTCACTTGTAATGAAATCGAGTGCAATGACATTGCCCAAGTAACTACATGTTTTGTTGAAGTACATTTTCATTGAAATGTTATACTGATTGTCATTCACTTTTGTGTTTATCACATCGATTGGCATACCAACGCATTTAATGATACTGTCAAAGTACTCTTGTGAACTATTTCCAACACCCACATAGTTTTCTTGATATTCCCATTTCTTGTCAGATGACGCTGTAAAAGAAAAAAGGGTGTACTGCTCAAAAAAGTTTATTGGAGTTTGTGCAACAAACACAATTTTAGTGAAATCGTCGTGACTCTGAAACCTGAGGTAATTTTCTGTTTCGAGAACTTCAGTTTTGTTCTCCTCGTAATACATTTTACCACTTTTGTCCGAAGAACGGAACATCCACTTGAAATAGTCGTTGGTCTCTCTTTCTGCTCCAGTTGAGTAGATATTCCAATTTGGGTCATATTGGCAATCCTCAAGTTTTGACACGTCGTACTTTGTTGTTGAAGTGATCAGATTGTTCTTTGTCAAGTTGACATTTAAAAAGTGTATCACATCATTTGTGAATGTTATTGCACTAACTTTTATGTTGATGTCAAAGTGTGGAATAGTAAAATACGGATCCAATCCTAAGATATATTGGACGTTGTTTATTATCAAGAATTCAGTGACCTCATGCATATTAAGTACTTGAACTTTTGAATGTGTTTCGTTGTTATCGACTACATAAAGTGATGGATTTGGTAAATTGTTACATTGACTCTGTCTAATTGCAATTTCACAGTACTCATCGTTATAATTGTCAGATGTTGTAGCTACTATGTCGTACAAATCATGGTTGACTATCACCATATTGATTAACATGAAATTTGTCTCAACAATTTCATTCACCTTTCTGGATCGAAAAGTTCCGGCAGTTGTGCACTGGACTTGGATGTTACTTGGCCCGACAAGGTCTAAACATTCACCACAACGACTCATCTTTTTAGTCCCCTTTTTCATTGGTATAATAGAGTCATGTACGTAACACTCGTTTTTAACAGCAAGTCCTCTTACTTTGTCTTCGGCGTTTTCTACATGATCGTAACAACTATCAACCGTCTCAAGATCAAGGGCCATTCTCTTCAAGTCCATCTTTTGTTTATTGACTAAAACAAGACGTCTCTTAAAGTTAATGAATGTTTTTGTATCGACAAAATTTAAGTATTTTGGTGTTTTGGATGAATCAAATGTTTTAAAATGAATAAATAAGAACAAACGACACACATCCCATCACCAAAGACTTGGGATAACAATAGGAGGACAACGCAAATTGTATAAGATGTACACACCATGGTTCAATTTGAAGAATTAAGTTCTCTGACTTCGACTGGTTGCATTGTTCAATAAGCAAAAAAAACAAAATTTTTATTCATTTTTATTTCATCAAATAGAGTTTTTATTCATAACTCTCAAACAAAAGTAAAACAAGACAATTTTCAGTTATTAACCTTTGTAATAATGTAAGTATGAATCGGGAAATTCATTAAATAAATATTCGCTTGTTTTAGGACAATAGTGGTTATGTTTCATTCAACAAATCGTTGGGATTTTATTTTATTTAATTTATTTTAAATTATAAATTAGTATTAATTCCAACAGTGTGTTTTTGGGATTTTTTGGAACTGATTTGGTTTAGATTTTATTCGGTGTTTCTAATTATTGGTGTCATTGAGTAGAATATGGCTGCAATTCAGCATGTCTCTGTGTGTGGTTATAACAAAGAATAATCAATATAGAATTGTTTATAAACAAGAAATAGTGATAATAAAGGGATTAATATGCCGCGGAATGGTAAACCTTTCAAAAAATGATGAAAACCACAAGAAGTTTTTTAGAAGAAAAAAATAATTGAGAAAAAAAGTCCAGTTATACTATGAACAATAATTATTTTATTAATATGTATTAGTTGGTGTGATAATGGGATGATGTATTTTAAGTTATGAATCAACTTTGGCGTCATTTAAACGAAAATTCGTCGACATTTGAACTTTTTCCCGACATTTTGGTGTTAATAAATCTGTGTGAAAAAGATAATTTCTTATTAATTGACCCAAAAGTCCATCGTTTGATAGTTAAAAATAATTACTATTTGTTTCAGACGGAAAAAACGGCATTATTTATATACTGGTATTGCATATTATTAAAAGATAAAACATAACAATCCTTTTTTATTCGATTTTTTTTTTATTAATAAAATTCATTATTTATAATTGCCATTTTTTTTATTTTGGTGTAAACTAATGAAAAAAACACAGTTTTAAATTATAATATGGTATAAAACTTACTAAATTAATCAGGTTGTTAAATTAAAAATAATTTTAATATTTATTAGAAAAATAATACAGATAGTAGAAAATTTGGGTGTCAAGAATAAATTGGGTGTCAGATTGATTTTGAGTTATTTAATGGTTTTTTATATTTTTTTTTGTGAGGGGAAAAAATAAAAAAAAACGAAACCCATTTTTTTACATTAACTAATCCCTATTTTATTTGACACCCAATTTATTCCTGACACCTTATTTTTCTACTATCTGTAAATCATATTTAAATTAACAACTATATCTTTTACTCGACAAATAAATTGTTTTTTAACATAATAAAACATCTTAATTATCATTTCCAATTAAATTATCTGATAAAACGGGATGATACAAACACATATTATTACATATATACCACTATATGTATTTTGCTATTTTGTGAATTGTCAAAAAATAGATGAAAAAATGATTATTTTAATAGTAAAATATTATTATAAAAAAAATACAATGCAAAAAAAAAATTTAATAAATAGTTATGTTATATCATATTTACATAGTTATATTATAATAGATTAATTATTTAAAGTTATAAATTATTTTATAATCCTTATACAGTGCTCATTGGTTTCAAATCGATAATATTTTTTAATAAATCGATTATGTTTTTATATTTTCGACAGTATTTTTTATGGTTTATATTGTATTTAATGAATTATATTACTATTAATGAAATAGATTGTGTTTTTTATAAATTATATAGCATTTAATGAAAGTGATTATATTTGTTATAAATTATATGGCATTTTTCTAATTTATACAACATTTTTAGTAAAATCAATAGTTTTTTTCTAAAATATATAGGATTTTTGATAACTTATATAACTTTTGTTTGAAAATATTTTGCTTTTTTTACAAATTATTGGATATTCCCGAATATTAGGAATAAAAATACACATAATAAGCAAGTTATTATTTGTTAAAAATACTTAATATGTAACTATATTTATACTATTATATAACTAAATTTTAATCTATTTTTATTTTAGAACCTCTTCTCAATGAGGATATTTTTTTAACATAATTATGTATATTTAAATAACGGGCAAAAAAATGATATCATGCAATTAGATTATATCGACAGAAGAGATCCAGGAGCAAGAAACGACTATCATGAAAATGCACCATTATCCATGCAAGGGCAACCTGTACAACCTGTAATGTTGCCCCATCGAGATATCCCACCTCTTCAAAAAAGATCACGGGGTCGGCCCCGAAAATTGGATTCAAAAAAGAAGAAAACAAATACACGACCTTATTCTCGTGTTACGATTGATCAAAGAGATACTTTGGTTGAACTATGGAGTAAAAATGGTGATAACATGAATGCTTCACGATATTCAGAAATAATTGGGATTAAAAAATAAACATTGAAAAGTATCTTTCAATGTTAAGAAAAGGGATATCAATATATCCAAAAATCATTATAGAAGACAAAGCCGTACTTTACCTTTTCAAAAATTGGTAGAAAAAGCCATTGAAGAAGACACAACAACAAAAATAACTTCAATTAGAAAAATGATAGCACAAGAAGAAAAATTACGCGAAGAAGAAGATGTTGACGAAATCATTTTGGATATTCCAAAAATATCCAAGGTTGCTGTTACTAAAGAGGACATTGATCTTTATGCACCTTCGATATCATCAATTGGAAATTTCATGACTGGTAAAACAGCAACAGGTGAAGAGAGAGAAGTCCCTATTTTTTCTTTCAAAAGAACAAAGACAAGAGGGCCAACAAGCAACACGGCAGATAATAAAGAAAAAAGAATTGCAGCAGTAAACGCTCTAAGGGGTTATATAACAGGTGGAGCACGTTGGGTTTGTATAGATGAAACTTTGGACTGTAGCATCAACTCCTGCATATGGCTGGTCAGTTAGAGGGAAGGAAGCCTTCATCACAAAATCAAAAGGTGGTCTTCGCCTCACCTCCATATGCGCAGTTGATTGTGACGGACTCTCTTATTGCAATGTGGTTTGTGGAACAAACACGTTAAATTCGTTCGAAGACTACTTCCGGTACCTAATTCATGAGTATGATTTAAAACAGAGACAATGCGTTTTTTGGGTGGATAATTGTGATATTCACAACACTATGAGAAGAACGCTAGATAATACAAACCACACTGTAGTATTTAATGCTGCGTACTCACCAGCACTAAACCTAATTGAAAATATATTTGGGATCTGGAAAAGTAGGGTTGAAAAAATGTGAGAACTTGGAATGGCATCGAAAATTTTCTTGAAAAAATCAGAGATGGTTTTTTAACTATTAAACCAGAAGAGTGCCAAAGTTGTTTTGAAAATGTTAGGGAAATTGTGTGGCCTCGAGTGTACAACCAAGAAAATATTTAATCAAATGTTTTTAAACAATGTATGGTTAATACAGTTCATTTATTAGTCTATTATAATGATATATATAATATATAATATATATAATTATATATTCAATAATAAAATATTTGTAATAATTATTGATAAAGTTATATTATAAATTAATTATTTTTATCATGTATCATAATTGTGAAAATTTGTATTAAAATAAACAATAAAAATAGATTAAAATTTAGTTATATAATAGTATAAATATAGTTACATATTAAGTATTTTTAACAAATAATAACTTGCTTATTATGTGTATTTTTATTCCTAATATTCGGGAATATCCAATAATTTGTAAAAAAAGCAAAATATTTTCAAACAAAAGTTATATAAGTTATCAAAAATCCTATATATTTTAGAAAAAAACTATTGATTTTACTAAAAATGTTGTATAAATTAGAAAAATGCCATATAA